TGACCACACAAGGAAGAAAAAAGGATTTGTGAAGCAACATTTTGCCTTATGTAGTGTCTTGACCGAGTCTCTTGTTTGGTAGTATCAGAAATAACTTGCAGTTTGGTAACACTCTTTGCTTTTTCTGTCTTATTAAAGTAGTGTACTTTATTATTTCATACTCTGTTTTGATACTTTGTTTCTGTACAGAATAATTAATGTAGCAATAGGCTTTAATTGTATTTTTGTAAGTGTGCTGGTTTGTTGGGGGGGGTTTTGTTCCTAAGGAGGAAAAGAAGGTTTATATAATCATGCTGCCTTCCAGCCCTTGTCACTTTTTAGCACCATAATCAATTTAAAATATAGTTTGAATACCATTGTTATCTCATCTTTTAAATGCAAGAAGACCAGAATGAGAAACAGGAGCAGCACGCTAGATGTGTAAGTTCAGTTGTTATTAGTAGCAGAGAGTCTGCTTTGAAGAACAGACACTTCCACTACAATTAACAACCACAGGTGAAAAAAATATTACATCTCAGTTATTAAAGGATATACTGTGCTTGTAGGAGAGCAGACCTTTAGTAAAGCTTATCTGTTTCCTACTGAGTTTATCTTCCAAAAGGCTTTAAAATGCCATGTTCCTTTTTTTTCAATCTATAATCTAACAACAGTACTCATTTCTGTTTTCTTTTACCAGATCATCCTGGAAAGGACTTCCAGAACTAACCAATGAGAATGGGCAGTATTGTCCTTTTAGCTGTGAAACTCAGGCCTGGTCAATTGGTGTTATCCTTGAAATCCTTTATGACTTGTAAAAGTTTATTTTGATTGATTTGGTGAAACTTCAGTGGTCTTACTATTGGGCATAAATGAACACTTTGCTTATACTGCAAGGGAAATTAACTGTTTTGCACAATCACTTAAGTTGTGTCCTGACTTTCAGAGATGCTGAATGCCAGCACTTCTGTGCCCTATAACTGTGTGGGGCTTAGGTGTTTTGAAAATCAGGGCATGACAATAAAATAAAACTGCAGTGCACACTCGATGCAGAAACTTTTAGTAAGGAGCAATTTTAAGAATATGCACAAACTTAATTTTAAGTAGCTTTGGTTTTTTAGCCTTTTCAAAACAAAATCTTAATGTAACAAAGTAATTTTTCTCCTTCCTGAGCTAAAAATAAGTAGCACAGCTCTTATGTTTTTTTTTCTTCGTCTCTTAAAGAATAAATGTATGTTTTTGCAAATGTATGCTTAAGGAGGAGTAGACTAACCTCTAGCTTTCTAAGTTTGGTATGCTTTGTGCTCTAGCACCATGCATTAATGAAGGAATAATATGTTATCTCTCCATTGAACTGTATAATGGGGATGTTTCTGTATGTGTTCAATTGAACACTCCACTAAGCAGCCACAGAAATAAAGTGTATGAATACTGTAATAAATCAACTTTTGAAGCTATATAAGGAAATTTTGAAAACTTTACTTTGAGAGTTAACTCAAGCAATAATGAGGTAACAGCCTATGTTAATCTGTCTTTAGATTTATTTAAACACCATGAGCCATATAGCAAACCTGTTTTTTCATTTTTATCTGGTTTTCACCATAGGTGGTTCAAAAGAAGTGTGCATACAATGCATGGCCAATGTGTTAGGGAAGGCCAAAGTGCTTGACTGCTTATTAAATTAATTTATTGAAGAGAGAGGGTCACCTGAGCCCTTCTTTCTTGGGAAAATCCTAGCTCTTTTTATCAGGTGGAAACACTTAACACAATGGAAAGACATAGAAGCCTGTATCGGAGAGGAGAATATGAGGCTCTGGGCCTTGTGAAATTGTACCAATAACAATAAGCATGCTGTGTAGTGTCCTTTGGGAACAAGCCAGTGAACATGATGCAAAATGTGTTTTTTCATATTTGGTTGTCTGCATGTCCTTATTAAATTCAGGGGTCACAAACTGAGAGGAGAGCAGTTGGTAGTTCTCAAAATCTTCATACACTTTTTTCATCTTAGTGCAATAAAGAGGCAGAGAGTAAGGCTGACAACACTTCCCACATCACAAGGCAGAAAGGCAAAAGCACTATTTCTGAATGTTAGACAACATATGCTGAAAAAATAAATACAGGATGTAATTATAATGCACTAAAACACAGATCAAGATTTTATCATGTCTGTATTTTAAAGTTTCTGTATTCTGTCTAAAGTACAGTGCACATGCTGTCTTGTTCAGGGAAATGTATTTCAGGTAGATACTGTAAGGGCAAGTTAACCGGTTCAAGAGATGAATTGTAGGAAGTGGCTATACTCATATACTATTTGTTTGAAAGGTTAATAAGGATTTTAACTCCCTTGCTCAAGTGTTCAGTCCTTAGAAGTTAGGAATGGGTAGCGTCTATATTATACCTGAACTTTGAACTGCAGTACATGGGTTGGGAATTTTTTATTTTCTTAACACAATGCATAAGAAATGTCATTTGATCAAAAATGTTACGGAAATGTCAGCTACAGATTATTTTTTTAATGTGCAAGAGGCATAGAAAGTATTTTTCATACTGCACTGAACTTTCCAAAATTCTTGATAATTATATTGAGGTTTGTCCTACTGTTTCACTAGCTTTACTGTTTTCCTGGATACTTATTTCTTCTGTATTATTTCAAGGTATGTTTTATGGCTCCTGTGGCTTAGAAAGCAGGAACAAAGTGGCAGAAAAAAATTCCTTCCTAGTTCATGAAAACATTTTAAAATTGGAAGTGAAGCTTAAGAGCTATAACTGTTGAGGATTTCCACCAGGTGTCAAAATTATATTCATTGGCAATAACACTCTTTAAGTGTTGGGGGAAAAAACATGAGAAATTTTTCATCAAAACCTTCCTATACTATGTACAGATAGCTTTCCAGTTTTGCAACCTGCACTGCTGATAGAGACTGCATATTTGTCACTGCTAGGGTTTTTTCTAATTTAATAGTAAAATTTTAAAAATAAATCACCACTGTGTACACAAAAATATATATGTTATGAAACTTCTAAACATGCCCGTTTATAATGTTGCTTCGGCACTGATTAGTTGAGCATAGTTTTAGTGACAAATATTTTAAATAGGGAAAAAATATGTATTGGTTGACTTTGCTGTTAAGTAGCAACAAAAGTAAGATTTAAGGTTATTAACTTTCGGTGGGGGGGTGGTTTATTGGTTTTGGGGTTATTCTTTTTTTTTTTTTTTTTCTCAAAAAGCTACTCAACACTTTGTCAAGCCAAACAGTTTGAAAATGAAGAGGGAAGAAAACAATGTTAACTCTAAAATAAAATGAGCTGATATTCATATAGATCAAGTCATTATCCCCTCAAAATAGCTGACTCTATATTGACTGATCCTGAGCTGTATCATTATCATTTATATTTTACACTCACTAGTGTAAACTTCTAGTAATGCAAACTTATAATTGGTAAAATAGAAATAAACTAAATAACTTAGTAACAACTGTGCATCCATTGTGTTCCAGTTGGTGCTTCTTGATCTGTTACACTAAGAATTTGTTTTCCTCCCAAGTGAAATAATTTAACTGTTACCGATGTTCACACAGTTAATAGCTCTTGATTTATTCAAAGATTATTAACTTGAGAATTCAAGTAAACTAATGTATCATTCTCACACTGCATGTTGTAATGTAAAATGGAAACATGAGCTTTACATGTCTGTCTATCACAGCAACAACTGATTTTAAAAAATGCCATTAATTTCTGAAATGCACAAAATAAAATTCTTTAATTCAGAGTTTCTTGTGATCGTGTTTTTTAAAAAAGTCAAACTTTGCAGCTGATGTTGCTTGTTCACTTCTTGCAATTTTATGCACAAGGGAGAGATCGTTAACGCCTCAGGTTAAATGTTAAAAAGTGCTAACAACACTTATTACAATAACAGCAGCTTATTAGGAAAAAAAGCATTAAAAAAGATTTTTATGTTGGTGTCAATGTCAGCTGCCCTAGCTGAGTTTGAGTGGTTTTGTGTTAGCAGACCTTCTGCTATGAATGTTTATATAATTTAAGTTATAGTATTGCGACTCCAGCAGGACAACAGTCTTGATTAACTGATTTACAGGTACCCAAGTGAAACAGTGATTAACTTTTGGAGTAAAATTCCTAGCTCTATGGAGAAGGCATTTTCACTTTTCAGCTCTACTTTGTAAAATCAGTCCCACAGCATGGGTGCCTGGTATACTGAATATGTTTTGCAGTGTCCCCATTTCATTCCATGCTTTATAAAAATAGGATTTTTTTTTCTAATGCTCGATTCAAGCATTTTCTTAAGGAAGTAGTTTATTATTCTATTGGATATACTTTTAATAAATTTTCTATCGAAAAGTGGGTAAAGAAATGTTAAAATGACAAGTCACTGAGATGTTGGGGGACGTTGCTGAGTTCAGAGCTGCCACCTCAGCCCTCATGGCACCTCAAGCAGCTCAGCTGAGGACAAAGTGTTACTGGTGGCTGGCAGGTTTCTCTTGGAAGCTGCTCTGGAGCTTGCAGATGGCAATTGGGGAAGTGCCACCAGTCAGGACGCTGGAGCTCTGCCCGCGTTGCAGTGTGAGGCGAGGCAGGACCCCTCAAGAGCCCGCTAATCTCGCCACCGAGAGAGAGCTTCCCGAGGGCCCGGCCTGCCCGCGCCTCACGGCCTCAGCCCGGCCGGGGCTGCCGGGGCCCCTCAGCGGCGCGACGGGCGGGACGGCGCCGCGGGGCCTCAGGAGGGCTCTGAGCGCGCCGCCGGCTGCGAGCGGCTCAGCCGCGCTCTCCTCGGGAAAACTGGGGAAACCTGCCCCCGCGGACAGCTGGTTTCCCTTTTTGAGTGTACCTGGAAACAGTAACAAGGAAAGTGTACTTGCCTGTGGGCATCTGGGAGTTTGTGCCTGTTGTGTAGTGTAGCGGTACAAGGGAGGGATCAGCTCTATTCACATTCTGCCAGATTTGCCTGTGCATTTGGTATTTCTCGTAAGTTACTGACTAAATTAAAACAGAGGCTTCCCAGCTCTCAATTTTACATCAAAGTGCAGGTGACCAAGTGTTGATTTCAGAGCACCAGTGGCTGAACGAGGCTCTAGGTTGACTGTTGTTTTAGTGATAGCAGTTTTTTACAGGGTCAGATTCTGAAGTGGAATTAATGTGTGGTGGTACGAAAGTGAACCTGAGAATAATATCAAAAGCAGACTGTGGCTAGTCAGGAGCCATCTGTGCTGTTCCAGGCTCTTGTGCTTCTGTAAGCACTTGTTCAGTCCCGCTGGCCTGTGACATGTTTGTCTCGTTGTGTACTAACTACCTCCTGAACCTGTTTCTTTCCAAAATCTTAATCTCAGCTGTGTGTCTGTTCTGTTTGCAACCTTTAGCCACAGGCAGCTGTTCACCCTATGAATAATAATCTCAGCATATTACACAAAGTTCGGTATCACTGACTATATTTGACAAATAATAAACTTGTTCACTTCAATTCTCACAAGCTCATGCAATCTGTGAGATCCATGAGCACTTCCCTTCCCTTTGTGTGCCACAGCAATATCTCAGTACAAATTCAGACAGAGAGACTATGCTTCATATAGTGCCTTATTGCAATGAGAATGAAAACTGGCCAGGAAAGAAGAGAATAATGCTGCAGCCTGGCAAGGGTCTTAAGCTGGGTGATGTGGACTCCAGATACTAAAGGAGGTAAGTTTTTTTGGAGTTCTGTATTACTGAGTTTGGACTGGAAAGTAAACTGGACCTTAATTTTGTGTGGTGGTGAGAAACGTAAGATGATGTCTTCTAATCAGTTATAAAGGAAGATACTTGCAGTCACATGATTTACAGACTTATAAATACAATTATTTTAAAGCATGATGCTCTAGAGTAGGATTAAATTATAATAGTGGGAGTCTTTTTTTAAGGTGATTTTTAGAGTCACAGTCAAATAATTTGAGAAAGCTGAAAAATGAATTCTTGCAAGTGACAAACCAAGGAAAAGGTTTCTACAAAATGAACAATCTGTTCTTTTGTGGGATACATTCTGGGGCTGTTTTTTTTAAATTTCTTTGTAATTGGTCTTATGGCCACTGTCTATAAGGGTCCTAGATGCAGCCTAGACCTGGAGAGCGGCACCTGTTTTAGCAGTATGCAATGAGAAATGAGTTCCAAATGCAGGAGTAAGGCTCCCAGCTGCTTGTGTAACACCCTGAAGAACAGCCAAATCATGAACTAATGGTGTCTTAGCAAGAGCAGTCGTTGGAGGGCAATAGTAGGTTAAGTGTTGCCAAGATGTGTCGCAGTGTTATTCCTAAGGAGAACTTGGGGTAGGATTTTGAGGTTAGTTAGTGTGTAAATTTTGTGGATATGAATGACTGATTAAAGTGTCAGGGATGACATGTTAGAAGGGATCTTACTTGAATGTATGGTAATCCAGGGACTAGCACAGTGGGCTGGGGGTGAACATCTCAGTAGAAAGCTGGCGATGACGGATGGGGTAAGAATAGTGCAGCTCTTTATTATAGAGAGAAATGAACATTTCCAGCCTGGCAGCAGAGGGTGGCGCCAGCTGGCCCCTGTGGCCCTGCTGTCCCGGCTCCTTCAGGGCTCTGCATTCCTGCTCAGCTACGCTCGCTGCGCTGCCCTTTGACGGCTCAAGTCTCCCTTCCCGCACGTCAAAACCATAATGAAATCTAGGCATTTTTAAAAGTTTAGAAAATGTTTCATTAATATAGCCCCATGTGGGAGAAGTGGGAAAGGAATACATCTTTGACGGTTTAGTGACATCTTGATTTTTTAAAGGGATAACTGGAACTAATAAGTATTTCAGTATTAAAAAATCCAGTAATCTATTTCTCTGTTTTGTTGCAAAGTTCAAGAATCTATTCATCTCCTAAAAAATGGGAAATGCTGGGATATGAAACCAGGTGTATTTAGGCATTTATTTATTATGGCTGGCATAATGGCTGGCAATTTTATTCTGTTTCCTTTTGCATCATAGTTCATTTAATGCTTCTCTAATGGCTGGCAATTTTATTCTGTTTCCTTAATGCTTTGTTTATGCAAATTATGTGACTGTGACTCTAAAAATCACAAAAAAATGTAATGTGAAAACTGAAAATAATTCTTCCTGCGCACTCTGTTACTATAACTATGGGTATTTTAACTTAAGTATGTTGTTATGTGGATATCTTTTAGTAGCATTCATTGTGTGTTTAACGGGCTGCATTTTCTAGCAGTTATTCCACTTGTTGGAGCTGGATGGGAACACCCACATGTTCAAGATAATTTTGTAATTTGTAAAGCCTGTAATCAGACCTACTGGGACAGCTGTTCAAGAGCTGGTTTTGTTTTCTTGTAGTGGCTGTCTGGCTAGTACTGCTGGAGGTCTCCCTGCAGGCCTCTGGAGGGCCAGGTTCATGTGTTTGGAGCAGTTAGGTTACTGCAGAGCCTTTCCAAGCCTCCAGGCACCATTTCGTTACATTTAAGAACCAGATGCTGCTATCACCTGGATCAGAGTAAATCTAGAGTAATTTAATTTGCATGCCTTGAATAATTGCAGATTTATTTTTGCATAATTTTGTCTTTAGACAGTTTATGCACCTTTGCAAACAGCAGTTAAAAGCATAAATCAGATGTAGCAATGCAATACAGTTGTTTATTCCAGGGTAGGGAGTCTGTACTGTGCTGAGGTCCATTGTCACAATAGTTTCCTTGAAGCAGTTTCCCCCTCATGCACAGGGGGTATTTTGCCTTAATTGTAGGTACCCTTGCTGGAGTCTAACAGAACATACTCTAAATTCAGCTGTAGTCCCAAAAATCTGGTAAAATTTCATACTTTGAATTTATCAAATTCCTGAAACATTCTCTTCAGGAATGTTAAAAGCAAATAAAACCTAGTTGAGGATCGGCAGGCGGGGGATGATAGTGGTAGCAGTAGACAGGTGTTCCTCTGGTTATTTCCATTATGTTTTCAAGTAAGACGTTATAAAAATTCCTTAAAAGCACTAGGATTTGGAAATTTGTACCTGTGTTATTAGAAATTGTTGTTTTGTCTGTGCTGGAGGATTGAGCAGAGAAGTCTGAAAGTTATAATATTTAAAAAGTCAATGTTTATTAGTTTAGTAGCTGAGATATGAACTCTTCAGTTAAGTAATTAAGCATTTCTTCCAAATTTCAGCAGATACTTTTTATTGTTATGAAGTAATTGTTCTAAACTGAATATTGATGTTAAATGTCATCTTGCTTCCTATCCATCTCCCTGATTTCATTTAACATAAAAGACTCCATGTAATTGTGGTGAAGGGGTATTTCTGTGTCTACTGCCATTCAAATTATAAATCACTTCAATATTTCTTTAGAGAGAGAGCTGCAGTATGGCTCTTTCAAAAAGAATCTCTTGGAGGGCAGAACCCCAGTGTTTGAATTTTAACTTAATGTTTGACTGTCTGAAGAGCAACCCTACTGCTTGGTGGTCAGTGAATCCTTCAGGAAGGTCAGACATGGGGTGATGGTTGAGGATGAGTTATGACAGAAAGGGAGAAGGACTTCTGAGTGAACACCCAAGAGAGACAAGGAGGATGTCTCCTCACCTGTGGAGTGTTTCAAAGGGAGAAAGTAGGAAAGAGAGGAAGTTCTGATGTCTGGTGTGTCTGCATGCTGTAGTACAGCAAAAATGATGGGAGCGGGAAGCTGCAGTTTGCCTCAGTCTGGGCCTCCTGGCTGGTCTGTATGACCCTGTGTTTCAGTGGAGCAGACAGCACAGCCACAGGGCTCTACTGCTGTAACACCAAAGTGCAACACTGCCCTGACCAGGAGTTCTGACCACTGAGGGGAAACACAGCTTGAGGAACTAGCTGCAACCACAGATGGATTTCCAAACTCATTTCAATTATCACCTGGTTTTCACTTTTGAGCACTAGAAACCTTCTAAATATTGAAATCTCATGGGGAGGAGAACTCCTGTAGAGGCTGAAAAACATTTTTCACTTGGCTAAAGTGAAAAATTTGCATTAGTTTGTCTGCCCTATTTCCACCTCTTCAGCCAGTTCAATATGATGTCTTAAAGTGGACTAAATTTCTCTTTCACCCTCCTTCACCATAGCTAAAATGCTATGGTAAATTTCACCCAGTCATAAAAATCCTTGGAAACGTAAGTACTACATCAGACTCAAAGGTTTTATGTGCTTGAATGTAACATTTTAAAGCCTTTTGATGCCATATACAGAAGGTAACTCAGAATAATAATTGCTGTAATAGTATCTTTTGTCTCATAAATTTAATTCTCAGCGTACTCTATTTAATTTGCTATAATTATATACTCAATGTGCTGCTAATAAATACACTCTTTCAACATGTATCTGTTTGATACATATATATTTTCAAACATGGGGGAAGCAGTAGAAGTCAAGAACACTGCATCTTTAGCATTTTTCACTATGAATGCTTTGTTAAATACCACATTACGTTACATTTCTTTTCAGGAAACTGACATGAGGATCCTTTGAAATAGGATGCTAAATAGTTGTGACAGCAATTAGATCACACCACTCACACTTGTATGTTTCCAGTGCTAAAAATTTTTCACTGCCCCTCACAATTAATCAGCAAACATTTTCTGCTGAAAATAAGAATGCAGGCATTGCTGGGGATACTATTGAAAGAAAAAAGCACTTCTGTTGTTAATATATGTGCTAACCCAAATCCTACTTAGATGAATCTGTCTTCTAAGCTAAGAACCATTGATTTTGCTGCCACTATTGCATGTGATTTCTGAATGCTGCTTCCATTGCTGGGGATACTATTGAAAGAAAAAAGCACTTCTGTTGTTAATATATGAATGAGGAGTGACTGGTAACGGGTCACCATTTTAGACAGCAGCAAGTTCAGCAGAACATAGACATTTAAACACAGGAAATCCAGAATTAGTTTCCCACCTGTACACTGTTAATTCTGCCTGCTTAGGTCACTCCCGCAGTGTCCCAGTAACACTGATATTTTCTCTGAGCACTGCCCTCCTCAGGAGCTGCTTCTGTCTGCCCTGTGTCAGGATCCACCCGTATGTACTTGGTCTGTAATCCCACTGTACATGTGCCAGGAATTATACAGCATTTCACACCATGCCAAATCTCACCATGCTTTGCAGCAGACCTGCAGGTCTGCTGCTGCATGTGCCTTTAAATTGCACTACATGTAGTTAAATATTTAGTTTATAAAGTATAAATACTAATCTCCTACAATGTACAGTTCCTTTGTTCTTACATCTGTCACATCACAGGTTTAGCCTTCAGGAAACCTCACAGCCTATGCTGATGTCTGACGTAGCTGTACACAACAGCCTTCTGGGCTCTGTTTCAAGCATGGTCTGCAGATTGAGTGCTGAAATGTGTGTCACAAAAGTTTCCAGAACAGTTCTTTCTTGGGATCATCATATGGTTTGTTACAATGGAATAGCTCAAATATTCATTGAATGCCTTTAGAGATGTTATTCACTATGCCACATTCTGCAGAAAATTACATGGCATATAGGAACTAATTCATGAATGTTGTGTCTATATATTACTTCTACAAAGGTTGATTAAAAAAAATCCATAATTTATATCTTTGGATGTGTAGACCACACATTTATCTTCTACTCTAAAAAAACACATTTCTATTACTGTTACTGGAAGCCACACACTCCTACCTTTGTTTTTCTTCCACATCAA